ATCACCTCTCCTCTCACGCAGACGTTCGAACCCACCTACATCATGACACACCTCGTACCTTTTAAAAGTTAACGGACAGAGGAGAGATTTGAAGACAGAGACACTGCTCCATATTACAATGACAGATGTTGAAATGTTCAAGAGGGTATGTTATTCTTTTTTGATAATATTGCAAGCTTATACTTTAATCTTATAAACTCTGCTATTATTATTATTATTATGTTATTATTTACATAGCACCAACAATGCTTTAAATTATTGTAATGGATTTTATATGCCTATATTTATATTTTTATTTAATAAAATATCTAAAAAGACAAAACTTTATTGCTTCCAAGACAATCCTTATTTTATATTGTATTGTCAATTATTTAGATGTATTTTAGATAGAGGATCTCTTGCTAATAATATAATCCTTTAGCTAAGCTATCTGTATGGTTAGCCCTGCTAAGCTCTATGCTTTAAGACGTTATATTAGTAAATAAGGGAACCGGCTGCGGTTACAAAGCTAGTTGGACTGAAACATTGGTTATATGCAAATGCACGTCTCATTAAAATAAATTTGCTCTTTTGTTTACATTGAAGCCCTATGAGCATGAGGACGTCCAGTGTCAGGCAACTTTTTTTTTATACTGTACTTTTCTAAATAAACTAACGTTTCTATGAAAACTGAAGTTTTTGGTTTTTTTGCGGCCCACATAAACTGAAACCTTGTTTATTTGGCCTGTGTTAGCCTTTGAGTTTGACATACTTGCTCTAGATATTCAATTTTCTTATTTTTTCAGAATCGCCAACATTTGAGGACAGTGGTGTACTGCCTAAAAGGCGCAGATGCCCAAGATTATATGAGCCGATTCCATTTAGGCTCTAAATAATGTGAGTCTGTCACCTCACAATCACATTATTGCACTACTTTGTTGCTCAGTGTCTATGGCCCTTTATAAAATTACAATAAAATGGAAAGGTAATAACTCCAAATCCCAACATAAGGATAACAAGCCCACTTCTCTAGTAAAATACCCCCTCCTGCTTCCCGTGCCTGCTGTCTTTTTATTCCTGTCCTTACCCATTTTATATGCAGAGAGTGTCTATCACACAGATTCCATCAAACTGCAGACTTTTGAAATAAACACAACATGACAAAGTTTCAGCCAATATGGACAACCTTACATAGGTCTTGGGAAAGGATGGCCATATCAGTCGAAATATGCTTTCCTATGGGGAGGTCTAATGCGCGTGCACGGCATTGCCGCGCATGCTCATTAAGTCTCCCCCACTGGCGGCCACGCATACGCAATAGGTCGTCCCCGCTGGATGACGTCAGCAGGGGGGAGCGTGGGCGGACCCTGAACCTGCGCCGAGGGATATCGGTGCTGGATACAGGTAAGTCATTAAAAGGGTTTTAACCCCTTCAGCAACATGGGATGGGGGGTGGAAGGCAGAGGGAACCTGCAGTGCAAGGAAAACGATTTGTTTTCCTGGCACTGGAGAGTCCCTTTAGTAAATTACTGGAATTTGCCAACAATTTCTATAAAGGAAAGAAATACATTAAACAAATAATTCTATACAACAAGACAGTAAAATACAATAGGTTTCTGGCCCACACAGAGAAATCAAACTAATATTTAAAATTATCAGAATTTGATACTGTAAGAGTCTCAGGGCGCCTCTGGTGCCCATAACTGGAATTGCAGAAAAATAAATATCCTTTATTATGTTGATCAGATCAGCAAATCAGCAGTGCAGCCTGAAATTTCTGCTTCTGTCACAAGATTTGGACCTCATTAAGAGAAAAATTTGATGGATTGAGGGCATCTGACATCGCAAACAGCAAGATAAATAGTATGGGCAAATATTGTGCGTCAAACCTCCTTGTGCACTGGTAATTTCATATGGTAGAAAATGGTTTCTCACTGATGATAGACTGTAAAAGAACAATTTTACAGAATCTAATCAGAGAAGGAACAGGGAAAAACATGGCCAAACATTCCTTTCTATAACTGAGTGGATACGGCATAATATAACGTTTTACACTGCTACAGCGCCACCTGCTGTCCAGTTCGCTAAAACACGTAATGAAAAGTAAATTTTATTTGCATTTATTTTACGTTAACCATTTATTTTACAATAAATCAATGAAAAATATTACAGGAACAACAGGTTGATGAGGACCCTGCTCGAAAGAGTTTCCAATCTCAAAAAAAGAAACTGCTTTCTTTTTTGAGAAAGCCTTTTTGAAGGCGAAATGTGTTAATTGTTTTTTACTACCTGGGTTGATTTTAATAAAGTAGTTGTTCATTTTCAAACATCTTCTGGACTTACCCATGATCTTTTCTACATTTCTCCTTGGTGGGGAGCATGCCACCTAGCTGCTGTGGATTAAGCAAAACCATATATTTGCTCTCCCTTGTTCATAAAGTCTTCCGCTGGGACATATACCATCCTGAGCTAACCTTAAACAATAAGTAGTGAACAGAGGTACATAGGAATATATATACACTCCAAAATGTGTCCCACTGTGTAATATACACCACTTGTGTGTGTGCACCAAGTGATAAGAGGTATAAAATACTGTACCATAAAATAGGTTAAAAGGAGCCACTGGAAATGAAAGATTAAAAACTCTCACTAGCTGACGGGCGAAGCGGATGGTCGCATAGTGCTGAGCTCCGCGCACCGACGGCCTTAAAAAGCATACTTTTAAGCAGTACCGGCTACCAAACTTACCAACCACGACCCTCCAGTCATGGCAGCACAAAAGGCCAAGAAGCAGGCAGAAATAACCACCGTGCCGTTTTTTTCACGACCCGAGCATCAACGCCGAAATCTATGGGCCTAGCTGACCAGGAACAAGATGGCGACGGAGGTAATGACACACTGCCACTACCAACCTCCCCAGGGGCGCAAAACCTGCCAGTGACCCAAGACTTCCTACAGAAGTGCCTAGACAATATGTCCAGCAGGATGTTAGAAACCCTGCAAGGCACACTAAGAGAAATGAAAAGGGAGATGCAGGAGCTGGGGGACAGGACGGCACACGTGGAGAACCGCATGGAGGAACAAGCCACGGTGCATAATGAAATGGCAGAACATGTGAAAGATCTGCAGCAACAACTTGATCTCACACAGAGGAAGGTCATGGACCTAGAGGACCGCTCAAGACGTCAAAACCTCAGAATCAGAGGCATCCCGGATGCAAGACTTACACGAATACCTAATGGGGTACTTCAAGGCACTAGCACCAGATATACCAGCTGAAATTCTACTGCTGGATAGACACCATAGGGTGCAAAAGCCAGCGTTCTTACCACAAGACACCCCCAGGGATGTACTAACTCACCTACACTACTTCCATGCTAAGGAAGCACTACTCCAAGCAACAAGAACGGGCGGAGAACCACCACAAAAATACAAGAACATCAAAATGTTCACTGACCTCTCTGCAGCCACATTGCAAAAAAGAAAGGAATTTAGGGAAACGACAGAAACCCTCCGCCACAACAATATACAGTACAGATGGGGATTCCCTATCCGCTTCTAATTAGAAGAAATGGTACGGTGACCACAGTGAACACTCTGGTAGAAGGCCGCAAACTGCTGCGCAGCTGGAACGTTCTGCCGAATCCAGAGAAGAAAGACACAACTACAGCGCAAAGAATGCCCTCAGAATGGAAAAAGAACAAAAAATGAACTAACACAGAGACAATTTTCCTTCTGCTGAGGACATTGGGGCAGAGCCTGACGTCTGGCAGACAGCGAGGTGCAAGTATTCCTAGCACTACATGTCTAACTATGAACACCCAGGCCACACACGACACACACATTCAAAAAAAAAAAAAAAGCCAGGAAGGCTTGATGAGCACATGAACCCCAACCACACCAAAACACAAAGCCCATAAACACAAAAAAAAAGTAAAACAAACCAGTAAACTACACGCTACAGCAATAGCCGGTAAACAAACAGCACAACCAACACGCATGAGAATACCAATGGAAAGATTCGGGCACCTTAGGTGCAACCAATTACACCACACCTTAGAAGTCGACAAAGTAACCACGCTCACACCTTGCACTATCACGATAGTGCAACACCCTTCAGTGGGAAATGTATACTAAAATGTTTGTTACTGTATACACTTTTGTTACGTTCTATTCGAATGTTATGTATGATGTTTATATAGCTAACTCCTGTGGGGATATTTATGGGATAATAATAGTAACAGTGAGAATTGCCCACTATTTCAATTCTCAGATCCCAAAGAACGTTTATCGTGTTAAGTGAAATGTATTTCATATAATAATATCACAATGTATAAAAATAGATTTTTATTTATAATGACAAATTAATAATAATATATGTAACATGCATGACAATAATCAATGAATATTCAGTATAAAATGGTATGCAATACAAAGGAATGGGTATTACGTTTCAATGGCTTAACGGCATTATCTGTCAAGACTTCTACGATTTATGACTATCTTTAACACAGGCTGAAAGTGAAACTTTTCACAGCGAAGAACAGAATTCCTCAGAGTGCAGCGTAAGGTCGTAAAGTTTAGCAGACAGTTAGAATAACCCTTTCAATGCTGGCTAGATCTCCTAGGTAGTTAAGATCTATTCTTATGTAATTTTTAAATAAAATAACATTTAAACCAGTTTAAATTCATTTTCTTAAAATCATCCAATAAGAGAATTTACCACATTATATAAGCAGATTTTTAATTTGTCTAAAAGATATCTATCTTAATTTAGAGCAAATCAATACACCTGGATAAAAACAGCGGTATGCTAACACGTGATAATATCACATCAATATATAATTATTCTTAATTCCACCTGCAGAATGGAATGTTTATAACTATATATTCTTAGTTAACTAAGATTTCTTAATATGGAAATCTGACCGTGCTTTATCCAGTCATATATAATGCTATTAATACATTTAATTAATTTAATTTAATTAAATGAAACCAGTATAATTACCAGTTGAGTAGATATTTCATCCGATTGGTAGTCTCAGGAATTTATTTGGATGTGTCTCTGCATGGAGGTTGGAGTCCCCAAACTTCCAATTCCTCTCTTTTCTCTCCTTTGCATATCTTGCATCTGCCTCCTCTCGTCTCTCGTCTCTTCCTATCTTCCCTTTGTCTTAACTTTTAAAGGGCCAGACTCTCTGTACGTCATCAGTTGATAACCCAATAGAAGCACTAGAGGTGTGGTTATCTTCCAGATCGCAAATTAGTTATTTGGTCTGTAGAGGGCAGTCTTGTCCCACTAAACATACCTATCCAGGAAAGAGTTAACTTTTCCTGGTGGCTATTTTGACGTCATTTTGCGTTATCTTTATAGCGCCATAATTTAAAATTTCAAAGGATTTCTTAAATTTTGTCCAGACTTAGCGTCTGCAATTCCTGCCATAATTTCTGATATGACAGATCATGAACTAAGTTTACCCTTTTCCATACAATGGTACCTTATATGTATAGACAGTTAAATATTAAATTATTTAATCTTCTCTGTCACAATTGTCTGGGTTTAGATTTGATTATATTCCATTAGCATTAGACAGTCTGTCCAACCCCCTTCCTTATCACTTGGCTTGTATATACTATGCATTCCTCAGCTCTGGGAAAGTGGTTAGCTTACAGATAGAAATACTGTGTCTCTTTGTTAACTTGAAATAACAAAATGGAGTCTGGTCTGTTCAGAGTGACTCAGAATATACACTTTTAGTTTCTATCATAGCACAAAATGTCTGCCGATATAAATACTCTGACATAACCCCCCTTTAGTGCATTTCATAGCCAAAATTAATTTAGCTTATGAATAAGCACTATAGAAGTTATCAGACATATTGTGCAATCACATCATTTCTAACATAGTACATTATTTTCAGTTGAAAAATGTCTTTGGGAGTTACATATGGTATGGCCAATAAAAAGCAAATCTCCATACGTTCCGGATCAATTAAGAGAGGTATAGCGCTCCCCATCTCAAAGGCCAGATTTAATTGCATAGGCTCAATTGTCTCTCCATCCACATTGGCAAGCATCGCATGAACAATATCCTTGGATACAAAATACAGAGGTATGCGTCCCCCTGCCAATTCGATCATTCCAGTTTGCACTTCGTCAAGAAAAGCAAGTGTGTGGAACAATATTGGGTCATGCAGAAATAAAAGTTCACGCTTGAATAAGTCATGACTTTGGTGCAACTCAGTGGATTTGGCAATTAACTCTGAATGCAAATTTGTTGTAACAACTGTGTCTTCCACAATAGTTAACACGTCTTGGAGAAGTGTTCTTTGCTGTTGTATCACCTGATGAATATCGTTAATGTGTTGCTTTAGCGCATAGATTTCCATATCCAGCTTTTGGACAGTAATAGAGTTGGCTGCAGACATTCCAGTTGCGACAACTGCACCGACAGTGGCACAAACTAATGCAACAATTATAGCGGTGAGGAACCTTTTGGGTCGGTTGCTCATCGGAATAGAACTGGATACAAATGGTTTCCGGGCTTGCTCCAAGATGTTTCGCACACGGTCCTGTGCTCTTTGGAGGTGCATCTGGTACCAAGTCTGTAACTCAGGAAGCTGCATCGATGAAATGTTGTATGCCTTCTCGATGGAAATCTTGGGGTCCAAGCTGACGAACACACGTCTGGTCAGGATCCTCTTCTCCGTTAAGATGAACCCTGGTGTCTCTTGAATCAGGATGCCGGAGGATGGTCCCATCTCTGCGATCGGGTCGGTCCGTAGCTCTTGGCACAGGAGCAGTACGATCCAGAAACACGCCACATCCTTCTTGGACATCTTTCGACAGTCACGGATCAGGAACTCGTTTCAGACTTATCTACTAATGATTCAAGGTTTGTTAAGCATACAAACTTATAACAGTGTGACATCACTTGGCCTAGGACAACACATTATTACGATTCATCAACATATGTATTCTGTCTAATTCTATTTTTATAACTTCATCCCTCACTACATTTATTACTGACTCTTCAGCAATTTGCCTATAGCAGTTAAACAAGCTAGTAACCTGCTTATAAAATGTAGTTATTGGATGGCAAGGAAATGGTTAATGACATGAACGTACATGAGATCATGGCACATCACAACATTTCACATCATACTATACCACGTGAATCAAGCATTCATCCAGGTTAGTCGTTCACCCTTCTGCGTCTGAATCCACACCTATAATCCTTAATTGAGATTTAGGATGACAAGCACGCAACTGGTTAATGTGAACCCACTTTTCAATAAAATCACCATCCTTAGGAATTTTTATCTTATACGCTACTGGGGAAATTTTGTCAATGATGACATATGGCCCTTTCCAAGAAGGTAAAAATTTCTTTTCCTTGACTTGATTTCGCGCAAAGTTATACAGATAGACTTGATCTGTTATCTCATATTCCTTTTTCGTGGTTTTTAGATCGTAATAGGTCTTAACCCCTGTCGCTGCTTTTTCTAGATTCTTTTGGGCAAAAGCAAATGCATGCTGTAAATGCTTGCGCAAATCTTCGATATACTGATGCGTAGTGGCAGCATTGATCAAGTTATGATCCGAAGTACGATATAGTAAATGCTGTGGTAAAACCATCTTTCTTCCTGTCATCAATTCAAAAGGTGACAATTTGGTAGCAGTGCTAGGTGTAGCTCTAATCGCCATTAAAACTAGGGGCAATTTAATGTCCCAGTCTTTACCAGACTCCTTAACATATTTCTTTAGAATATTAACGATAGACTGGTTATATCGCTCTACCCCCCCGCTAGACGCAGCGCGGTATGCAATATGTAGCTTTCGTTTAACACCTAGAATGTTCCACATCTTAGCCATTACTTCGCTGGTAAAATGACTACCTCTGTCTGACTCAATTCTTTGAGGCAGACCGAACCTGGAAAAGACATGGTTAATCAACAAAGTGGCGCACACGGTACTCGTGTTCTCTTTACAAGGCAAACATTCTATCCACTTTGTGTACATACATGTAACAGTTAACATGTATTTGTTACCTCTTGAAGATCTTGTTACAGGACCTATAAAGTCAATTTGAATATCAGACCAGGGTAATGACACCCCCCTCTTCTGAAGTGGTGCACGATGGGTTGGACCATGGGGTTGATATTGCGGACAAATCAAGCATCCCTGACAGTATGTCTTAACATCCCTTAACATGTGTGGCCAATATGCATAATCACGCAATATCTCATATGTGATCTTATCACCACGATGCCCAGATGTAGGTGCATCATGTGCGTGTTGGAGCATTAACCCTCTGTATACAGTTGGGACTACCCATTGTTGTATACCATGTTTAGAAGTTCTGACCAGTAACCCATCCATGATACTAAATTGGACTTTATATCTCATCAAGATTCGTAAATCTTCATTATCTTTGCAATCCTCATCTGTGATGGGATTGGCAGTAGGGTCTTCTATATGTCTATAGAATATGCCTATGACGGGATCATTCTTTTGACTAGTAATCAGGTCCTCACTAGGAGCTTCTTGACTCCATTGCACGACATTTAAGTCGGCATTATCTCTAGCCTGTCGTCTAGTTATGGCTTCAACATGAATTGAACCCATAAGATCATCAATGTTTAGGGTTTCACCATTGATGGCAGCTTGTTTTGCCAGTGAATCGGCTAAGTCATTACCATCCTTGTCAATACCTTCTATTTTAGAATGGCCTTTGGTTTTCTTCCAATATATGGTTAAACCATTTTCCTTAACCAGTTCATCGATTTTACAAAACAATTTCCCATGTTTAACAGGTTTGTTATTGCTTTTCAGCATTTGGTTACGTTTCCAGCTAGGCAGATATTCGACGAAACTGTTGCGAACATAGTTGGAATCAGTTATAATAACAAATTCTTTGATACCATATTCTATTGCCATTTGAATGGTCTTATATACTGCACAGAGTTCGGCTATCTGACTGCTTTTGGGACCAATATTGTATCCTATAGATACATTAGGATAATCACCTGTCCAGGCGATTCCGATACCTGCAACTAACTTCCGTTCAGCACCAACGACGTGGTGATATGAACAACCATCAATGTATACCCACGGTAGTGGTCGACAGTATTCCTCGTCATAAACTTTATAAGGAGATAGCAATTGCTCTTCTAGGAAGTCATCTCCGGTGTCATTATCATCCAGAGATGGAGCAGTACAGTCATGTAATTCTGCTAAACCTTGGGCAACTGGGCTTCTCTTATTATGTTTATAACGGACTTCTAACGGCCATCCCTGTAAGGATAGAGTCCATGCAGTAATCCGACTGTTAGAGAGATTACCGTCTCTAATTCTTTCACTCTGCAGATACTGTAGAGGTTGGTGAGCTGTTTCTACAATTATTTTCTCACCTTGGATATAGCTACGAAAATTTTGTAGTGCCCAGACAGTCGACAATAACGCCTTCTCACACGTGTTGAATTTAACTTCAACAGGTGACAAAGTCTTGCTAGCATATGCAATAACCTTGTTTAAACTGTCCTGCTTCTGATACAGAACAGCACTTATGCTTAAATCGGTATAACCTGTCTCCAGATAGAAGGGTTTACCCCCCTCTGGGTATGCTAAACAGGGTGCCTGAGTGAGCTTCCTCCTCAGTTCACTTACCGCTTGGTCCTGAGGCTCCCCCCAGTTCCAGGTAGTTTCCTTTTTAAGCAGGTGTAAGAGTGGTTTAGTTATTTCTGCATAGTTATCTATAAACTTACGGGAGTAGTTAGTCATACCAAGGAACGATCTTAATTCCCTGATGTTTGAAGGTGTTTTAGCCTTTAGTACGGCTTCAACCTTCTTCCTCTGGGGATTTAATCCTTCAGAAGTTACCTCATGTCCGAGGAAATTGACATGGGTGCGACACCATTGTGCCTTTTGTAAAGACAGTTTAATCCCTGCCTCTCTTAACTGAGTGAGAACATGTCTAATCTCTAAGATATGCTTATCAAAGGAAGTGCTTTTCAGCAAGACATCGTCGACATATGATAACGTTCCTCTCTCGAGTGCGTCAGGCATAGCTTTATGCATGAACACAGCGAATTCATGACCAGAGTTTATATAACCGAAAGGCATACGGGTCCAGGTATACTGCTGCTTTCCAAATGTGAAGGCCAATTTGTATTGGTCTTCATTATGGACTGGTACAGTCCAATATCCCTGCGCACAGTCAATGGCAGTGAATATTTTGGATCCCTGCATTTGT